TTAAGATTGATAGTCATATCACTACTTCACCAATGATATTAGACAACTTATAAAGCATAACTTGAGTCACAACTACATTTGAACACTAAACAAATATCATCATTATCAACTACTAATATATTACTATAAGCAAGAGTGGATAAGGAGGAGGGGAGAGTGTCTAACTGCCCTATGCTGCTAGTGATATGTGTGCGTAGAAGTCTTTCACAGTTTGTTTAGCACCTTCTTTGACCTGTTTAAACATCAACAGCCATGATAGTAAATGGGTGTGTTTTTAATAACCTATATGGTGCACCCACCCACACATGTAGTCACGATGTTTCAAGAGGAAGAGTCAGAACTACAGCACAATCCAGATGATCATGACTGTTACACAGATTGAGAGCATCTAATCTTGATGAGCGCCATGCCACTACACCTAAGCGCCCTAATGCATCAAGAAAGAGGACATGGAGTCAAGAGTCAGAAGCCTCTGCTCCAGTGAACTCAGATCTGTAATACTTCGTTTTTAAGATCAACAGCCCGTCTCAAAAGTACATGTACCACATATTCTTTCACTTCTATCATTATCCTTACTCTTGATGTTGCGGGTCCAAAAGGACCAGACTAAAGGAGGATGATCAAAGAGCTTTTCATGTGTCAATAACAAACATGGTTTGTGTGCTTGGAAACTACAAATCTCTTCAGAGTGGTACAAAGTGACTGGTACAACAAGGTGAGGTCAAATTCTGCTTCCAAGGTCTCTGGTCTCTTGCTGTTCAGTTCAGCAGCCATTTTAAAATTACAGTTAACTTAAGTACATGCCCAACTATGGCTTCAGTGCAGCTATCACCTATTGTGCTAAATAAGGTATGCGGGAATGTACTAATAATAACCATGAAACTTTTATGCGCACATATCTCTAGCAGCATAGGGCAGTTAGACACTCTCCCCTCCTCCTTATCCACTCTTGCTATAAGCTACTACATAAATACACATACAAACAAGCATACATTCACAAACATGTACGTTACCAGAAAACCAGCTCAAAAATTACGTGGCAAAATTATAATAATTACAGTCAAATGTAAATTAACAGTGACTTTGTAAATATGGCCATCATTGCCATGTAGAGTTAAAAGTTCAAAAGATAAAGTTATGACTTACTATTGAATGACTGAAAAACAGATTCAACTTGAAATCGTTCAGAAAGCAGCCTCTTCACCACATAGAGGTGAGTTAATAAGAGCCAGCTGTAATTGTACATGAAGTAGTAACATACAGGTGGAACTAGGTGGAAAAGTGGGCTGATGTTATCACAAACCAAATAGAACGCCACAAAATTAAAAGTTAGGAATAGTGGACTGGTGCCTAAAAGATGTTATCACAAACTAAATAGACGGCCACAACATTAAAAGTTTAAAACAAAAAGTTTTGACTTACTACGCAATGAATGATGGTCCCGAGAAACAGCCTCAACTCGAAAACCTTCTCCTTCTGTTCACCACGCCGCTATACTAATTGAATACCTTTGATGGAAGCATCAGAGACAGCAGGACGTCTTTTAGGCCTATTTACAGGAGTCCTTCTAGTCGGAGTGCTCCTCAATCGTTTGTTCGTTGCACCGTTGTTTGCCTTCCCTAATTCTGCCATGATTCATCACGTGATGCCAAGGAATGTAGGTTATGCAATGGACCTTATGCACCGAAATGATTCTAATTAACGCGCACCCAAAGTGGTGGTAAAATGGCGGATTTTTGGAGGGAAAGACAGGCTAAACAATCTTCTCTTTTATCCATCCATTCTAGCTGTGGGAGCCACTTTGAGCTGTCCTATTGTTTCAGTATACTCTATTTATCTCTTTTGTAAGCTCTTTGGTTGCTGTTTTGGCTTTTATAGCATTTTATCATAGGATTATTCTCAACCATTGGCCATTCCCGTTTTTCTAAATTTTGCTTTCAGGAGCCAGGGCGCTTGCCCTTCCATTGCTAGGAAGATAGAAGTGCATTCAGCTGAGTCCTATGACTAGTGTCTATCATCAGAGTTAGTCTCAGTCCATCAGTACAAGGTACGGTGGAATAACTCACTCAGTTGTTATTTTGCAGCTGGAGTGTGGATGATTATGACCATCTTTTCACTTCTTAAAACTATAGGTTGGCTCTTATAGATAGTTGAGGCATGCAAGAACTCATTCTTTAT